AGTCTCACGGCCCATTGCCTGCATCAGGCCGGGGTTCAAAGGGTCCTTGCACGACCCCCCCGGGGCGTTGAGCCCGGCAGAGCGCTGCCCTCACCCTCCTGCCCCGGCCTGTCTGCCCGAGATGTTCATTCCCTTTCAAACACCAACCCCCCCTGCCCCCCCCCCCCGACCCCAAGGACTCCAGACACATTCTGGCCTCCTCTAATTAGGCTGGAGGTTATCACGGGGAGGAAAATCCGAGTGGATGCTCTGCCAGGGCCGAGGAGGAGGCGGTAGAAACGCTGATGCAGGCGGGGAAGGAGGGGGGGATGCAGGCAGGGAAGGGGGGGGATGCAGGCAGGGGGATGCTCCTCTGCCTGCTCCTCTGCCAGCCAGGAGCAGTGGGAAGGGCTGGGGGGTTTCTGCTTGAGTCAAGGGAAGAGCAAAGCATCGCCTTCCCTGGTTGCTCTTCTGGGGCCTCCAGATGTGCAGGGTCCAGATGTGCAGCCCTGCCTGCACCTCGCCCGCAGGCAGGGATGATGACAGGCAGGTTGTCTTGGTGCCCACCACCAGCCAGGGGCTTCTGTGTCCATGGAGTCAAGGGAAGAGCAAAGCTTTGCCTTCCCTGGTTGCTCTCCTGGTGTGCTGCAGCCTCCAGATGTTCAGGGTCCAGATGTGCAGGGTCCAGATGTGCAGGCAGGGATGCGGACAGGCAGGTTCTGTTGGTGCCTGCAGCTGATGGAGGCTCCTGCATCCATGGAGTCAAAGGAGAGTGAAGTATCTCCTTCCCCAGTCACTTTCCTGGGGTGCCACGGCCTCCAGATGTGCAGGGTTGAGGTGGAATGGTCCAGATGTGCACAGTCGAGGCTGCACAGTCCGGGGGTGGATGGTCCAGGTGTGTGTTGTCCAGCTTTGGATAGTTCCAGGGGTGCATCATCCAGCTGTGCACGGTCCAGGTGTGCACCATCCAGGTGTGTGTGCAGTCCATGTGTTCGTGGTCCAGCTGTGCACAGTCCAGATGTGTGTGGTCTGGAGAGCATGGTCCAGCTGTGCAGGGTCCAGCTGTGGATGGTCCAGCTGTGCAGGGTCCGGGGTGCCTGGCCCATGCACATGTGATCCAGCTGTGCAGAGTCCAGCTGTTCCTGGTCCAGGCTCATACACTCCAGCCTTTCATGGTCCAGGTGTGCACGGTCCAGCTGTGTGTGATCCAGCTGTGCACGGTCCAGGTGTCCCCAGTCCAGCTGTTCAGGGTCCAGGCTGCCCGACGCAGACACATGTGATCCAGCTGTGCCTGGTCCAGGTGTGCCTGGTGGAGGTTGCACAGGCCAGATGTGCACCATCCAGGTGTGCACCATCCAGGTGTTGCTGGTCCAGCTGTGCAGGGTCCAGGGTGCCTGGCCCGGGGACGTGTGATCCAGCTGTGCGTAGTCCCAATGTTCACATTCCAGCTGTGCATCGCTCAGGCACACATGGCCCAGGCACAAGTGATCCAGGCATGCATGCTCCAGCTGTGCTCAATCCAGGTGTGCACATTCCAGATGTGCATAGCCCAGGCACAAGTGATCCAAGCGTGCACACTCCAGCTGTGCGTGGTCCAGGTGTGCACATTCCAGCTGTGCACAGCCCAGGCACAAGTGATCCAGGTGTGCGTGCTCTGCCTGTGTGTGGTCCAGGTGTGCACATTCCAGCTGTGCTCAATCCAGGGGTGCACATTCCAGCTGTGCATGGCCAGGTGTTCACATTCCAGCTGTGCACAGTCCCGCTCCCTGCAGGAGGCCACCATGTCATTCCCAGATACCAGGATGCTCGATGTCCCAAATATCAGGATGCTCCATGGCCTGGGTATCAGGATGCTCCTGTATCCCAGGTATCGGGATGCTCGATGTCCCAAATATCAGGCTGCTGGATATCCCGAATATCGGGATGCTCAATTTCCCAAATATCAGGATGCTCAGATGTTCCCAATATCGGGATGCTTGATGTCCTGACTATTGGGATGCTTGGATGTCCCAAATATCTTGATGCTCCTGTATCCCAAATATCAGGATGCTCGTGTATTCCAAATATCAGGATGTTCAATGTCCCAAATATCAGGGTGCTCCATGGTCTGGATATCAGGATGCTTGGATGTCCCGAATATCAGGATGCTCGATGTCCCAAATATCAGGATGCTCCATGTTCTGGGTATCAGGATGCTCACGTATCCCAGACTGAGAGGGATGAGCTGTCCCGAATATCAGGATGCTCGATGTCCCAAATATCAGGATGCTCAGATGTTCCCAATATCGGGATGCTTGATCTCCTGACTATTGGGATGCTTGGATGTCCCAAATATTGGGATGCTCCTGTATCCCAAATATCGGGATGCTCGATGTCCCGAATATCAGGATGCTCCATGGCCTGGATATCAGGATGCTTGTATATCCCAAATATCGGGATGCTCCATGGCCTGGGTATCACGATGCTCGTATATCCCAGATACTGGGATGCTTGATGTCCCAAATATCAGAATGCTGGATATCCCGAATATTGGGATGCTCAATTTCCTGAATATCAGGATGCCCGGATGTTCCAAATGTCAGGATGCTTGATGTCCTGACTATTGGGATGCTTGGATGTCCCAAATATCGTGATGCTCCTGTATCCCAGATATCGGGATGCTCGATGTCCCGAATATCGGGATGCTCAATTTCCCAAATATCAGGATGCTCGATTTCCTGAACATTGGGATGCTTGATGTCCTGACTATTGGGATGCTTGGATGTCCCAAATATCAGGATGCTCGATTTCCTGAACATTGGGATGCTTGATGTCCTGCATACCAGGATGCTCAATGTCCTGAATATCGGGATGCTTGATGTGCTGATTATCAGGATGCTCAGATGTTCCAAATATTGGGATGCTTGGATGTCCCAAATATCAGGATGCTCCATGTCCTGTATATCAGGATGATCAATGTCCCGAATATTGGGGTGCTCGGTGTCCTGGGTGTTGGGATGCTCAATGTCCTGAACATCAGGATTCTTGGATGTTCCGAATATTGGGATGTTCAATGTCCTGAATATCGGGATGCTTGATGTGCTGATTATCAGGATGCTCGGACGTTCCAAATATTGGGATGCTTGATGTCCCAAATATCAGGGTGCTCAAATGTCCCGAATATCAGGATGCTTGGATGTCCCAAGTATTGGGATGCTTGGTGTCCCAAGTATCAGGGTGCTTGGATGTTCCAAATATTGGGATGCTTGATGTCCTGAATGTGGGGATGCTCGACATCTGGAATATCAGGATGCTCTGATATCCCAAATATCGGGATGCTCAGTATCCCAAATATCGGGATGCTCAATGTCCTGAGTATCAGGATGCTCGGATGTTCCAAATATTGGGATGCTTGATGTCCTGAATGTGGGGATGCTCGACATCTGGAATATCAGGATGCTCTGATATCCCAAATATCGGGATGCTCAGTATCCCAAATATCGGGATGCTCAATGTCCTGAGTATCAGGATGCTCGGATGTTCCAAATATTGGGATGCTTGGACTTTGCAAGCATCAGGATGCTCACTGTCCCAATTATGGGGATGCTTGGTGTCCCGAATATCAGGATGCTCGATGTCCTGGGTACCAGGATGCTGGGATATCCCGAATGTTGGGATACTGGGATGTCCCTGCTCTCTCCCAGGCGCGGTGCTGCGATTCAGCCCTGGCACGGGGGCTCCCTGTGAAGGGGTTTGGAGCAGTTGGGCCAAACCCCTTTAACCTTCCTGGCTCCTGGGGGTGTTTTAGCAAGGGGGGGGGCAGTTAGTTTTCCCATCCCACTTATTTTTCCTGGGATGTGGCCTCCCTGTGTCCCCCAGCTTGGCTCCACATCCCTGCCCCGACGCAGCCCGAGCATCCTTGGCTGCCTTCTCCCTGCCTGCCAGCCCTTCCAGCACTTGTTTAACTTTGTCTTTCTTCTTAACCTGCGGAAAGAGCCCTTTTCCTGCTAAAAAAAAAAAAAAAGAGAAAAAAAAAAACGGGCAAAGCCACTTTTCCCCGGGAGCAGCGCCGAGCGGGGAGGGGCGTCTCAAAGGAGGGCGAGGGAGGAGGGAAGGAGAAATCCTTTTGCTGATTTAACAGGTTGGCTTCTTCCAGGCGGCTCCGGGAATGATCCAGCTCAGCAAATTGATTGCTGCACAAAAGCCTGGGCTGGGGCTTTGAATACCCTCCCCCCCCCCCCCCCCACCTTGTATTTTTATTATCGTCGCTCGGCCGCTCTCAACAAATCCCTGCCTCTTGCCCGGGAGCAGCTGGAAAAAATTAAGGAGGCTGGAAAAAACAAGGAGGGTTTGGGTTTTTTTTTTAAATTCCAGGCTGCTGCAGGGACCCTGAGGATCTGTGCCTGCAGGGAAGGGCTGGATTTGGGGGTCTGGGGGGTGCAGTGGCTTGTCACCTGGATTACAGGAGCATCTTCTGGCCTGGGGACAAAGGGTTGAAGTCCTCCCGTTGCACAGGGATGTCCTGCAGCCAGCACTGATGAATAAAGAGGGATAAAAAGGGATAAAGAGAGGCAATTCCCACTCTGGGCATCCCTTGGGATGAGCCAAACTCTCCTCCTGGCCCGGCTGTGGGTGCTGGCAAACCCCACGTGTGGGTGCAGCATCCTCCTGGAGATGTGGGGCAGGGACCTGCTTTCCACCCCTCTTGGGCTGCTGGATTCCTCACCCTCCTGCTGATGGGATATAAAAAAATATCCCAAA